GTCTACACAAGAAATCGTTGAGTCTCAGATCTGACGAATATATGAAACAGGTATATAGTGACAGTATAAAAGTAGAAAATACCAGGGAAAGATTGACTGGGCGATGAGAGTTCTGACAAACTTTCAATGAGACATCCCATTATACGAGAAATATAGAACGCGGCATTCACATCGCTAGAATTATCAATATAAGCTCAATGAGAACATCTCAACAAAATACCAATCAACGGAACTTACTTATTTTTTTTTTATTTCTTGTCAATATTCATTCCCGGTTTTATGTTCGTATTGTATAACTTCCAAGCGACGCAATGATTTTTGTACCATGCAACTACGCCGGCACACTGTGTTTGTGTGTTGATATTGGTTAATCAAGTGCCCACTCAGGACAGTGTCTAGGGATGTAATTGCCTACCAGGTGCTTGAGTTAGGTGTATGTAAATGTCGTGCATCCGGTGTAAATATGTCACAGGTAATAGTCTGATTAGTATATAAAATCAGATTAAAATTTTGAGAATCTCAAAACATGATAATATGTCAACATATTATTATCAAGCTACCATTCTATTAAAGTAGAATGGCGTGTTAACAAAGTTTACGACCAGCAATATAAGTAGCATTGAAAAAGCGTACGGGGCTGTACGGGGTGAACTATGTATTGGGGGTGGAAAATGTATGGCTTTCACTGATGTAGTCATTGCATGAACCAATGCGGTTTTTGTTTTTCCTGTCAATTATTTTTACAGACGGTAAATAGCTCAGCCATAAGTTAGAACATATTATTCTTATAATATTTTTATTATTATTATTATCAGTTAATATGTTCATGACCATCTATAATTAATGTCTGTCAGCATGTTATGACTAATTATTGTATAAATAATATCTTATTTCGTTTTTTCATGTCTGTCTTCTAAGTAATGGATTTTGCATTGGAATATTTAAGTAATTTTTCATTTAAAAAGCTCAAATCTCAACTATTTCAATATCAACAAATTCCCAACTATACTATGATATTTATTATAATTTGTTGCCAGTGGAGAGGGGAACAGAGGAAGAATTATGCGAAACCAACTGCTTGCACCTGCAGCATATATATATAAGTTTTCGTTTTCTCTATTGAATATTATATTAATGGGAAGAAACCAATTTATGCTATTATGCTACCATAATGACAATAATTTAGCTATATAAGCATTGTATTTCTTTGGTAGGGCCATGAGCGCCCCTCCAACTGCTTATCTGCTCGGATGTCGGAGGAGCGAAGAAAATAGTCACATGCAAATCTATCCTGTTTAGTAATGCAATTAAGGCTTGGAATATAGCTTGTCACGGATGATCTCTCATTTAAATTAGTCTGACCTAATGTGAAAAGTATTTTACATGGTTAAAACGCAAAATATTGCGGCTTTATTATGTAGCAGAGACTTATAGTTCTCAAGTTTAAGAGCAGTTGGAAAAACAAAGGCATGCAAAATACTAATAACAGCAGGGGTGTATGTATTTTATGTAGACGATTACCAGATATTACAATCCATGGTAACATCAATGATGATGAAGAGTGATCTTGCTTTCATCC